CTACGAGGCCACACCGGTAGTACTGATCTTTTCAAATTCGCAGACAGCTTACATGCTAACTGGTGGATGCTACATGCCTCTGTAAGTTGGATGGGTAAATTCGAATGTGAAAAGATCAGTGCCACCGGTGTGGCCTCGTAGCTCAGCTGGTAGAGCATGCGCGTACAAAGCGTAGGCGGCGTCCATGCGCGGGTTTGAATCCCACCGAGGCTACTGAAATTTTCACAATCGACATACAAACTTCAAATCTGCCAATTAACTATTTGAAAAACCTGCTATTGTTACTAGACGAGGTCATGTGTGTGTGTGTTCTGGAAGAAGGATGAACGGGGGAAGTCTGCTGATGGCCTACCACAAAAGAGACGATTGGGTCACTGGCAGTCAGTGAGACAAAGCTCTGGATATAACTGGACACACGGAGAACTAAGGAACTGCAATCAACAGTTTCTTGCTCTGGGCTTAGGAAGTCGGATTCCTGAAACGAACGGGGTCACCGGAGGGGGAGGGATCCGCTGTCATCAATGACCGGGCATTGAACCTATGTGATTACTCTTTTCTGTTAGCAGACGACATAAGGACAGCTGGACTTAAGCTCGAGAGGGAGACATTTCGAAAACAGTTCATCAATGGATGTGGCTGTGGGCGTAGTATTCAATTACCCCATCTGTTGATTACGAACAGGTAGAACTGATAATGAGAATTGGGAAAACTAATCGATGCTAGGGGTGGTGGATCCGAACGATTTAGAGGTAGTCATAACATGGGAATCAACATTGCGCACCTGGTGTCAAAAAACAGTAGAATCGACCACAGGAAGACTAATCAGATCCCTTACCGCTCCCTCCTCCCCGGCCTATGATGTAATACAACCCGGACGTTTCTACACGCGAAAACACTATCATCGTCCGTCTATGCCTAAAACACTCTTGGACAAGGAATGCTCAGAAAGAGGTCATGCTAAGCGTACCGCTCGTGGATTTATCCGATCCCAACCGGAGAGTTGGGGGCGACTGACTGGAGTAGCAGTCCTAGTGATTTCTGTTCAAGTCATCCCGATCCACCCGGACCTGCATTTGGACTGTTCGCAATCGATAATGGAACAGCTCTTTGGTGCGGGCTGGGGACGGGGGGGGTGTCGGCTTCTAAATAACTCACTGTGATATTTCTTCCATTGACGTTTGACTTGATAGATCAATTGTTCCCGGGACAGTTCAACGCCAACATTCTTCGGATGTGTGACAAGTAATTGACGTAAACACGGCGCGGTTAGATGAGCGATCGAGGATTCCAACTTTATTCGACTGATTGGAATAAAATCAGCAGCAACCGCGCGCCGTTCTTCTTCCGTAATGATGAAACGCTTTGCATGTGAATGCATTTTGAAGCAAACGACGCATGTTGACAAGGAGGATTGAATACATTTTCGAAATATGAAAGAAATACATGGAACACGGGAAAAGAAAATGGATAAATCAGTTTCGTTGGGTAAATTCAAATTTCAGGGGATCAATGAAAGATCAATGAAAGGCTACCGGTGCAAGATCAGGATCGATCCGAACAGGAAGCCAGCGCAGTCAGCGTAATCCACTACGCAATGCTTTTGTCCACTGGTAGATTGAAAAACAGCGTTTAACAAATCATTTGGGGCATTCCAAAAGAGACGTCTAGCTGCACAGCGCGAAATGTGTACGTACAGAAAATGAGCCAGAAGGGGATCCGCGCTTAAACAGAGCCATATCCTGTTGATACTATTGCAAACAACGTCCTGACGTCATCCTTTGTCTCGAACCAACTATCGAAGTTCGTCCAAACAGACTATATTCATTCAGATCCTAACACCGGAGAATACTGGATGTGACATTATGGAAATACCGTGATACAGATGAAACCACCTTATAGACTAAGTTGATTTCGCTTCTTTGACATCAATAGTGATCGTCTGAGTTCACTATCTTAAATGACAGGGTATGTCGTCGGATGGCCGGGATAACTCGGGATATGGCGTGTGTTGGGGNGGGCGGCCACGGAAGCGTAAGCACCTGAACAAATTGTTATCAAGCACATAAATTGGGATTGTGCAGAAGAATTCTTATCGCTTCCGCTGTGGCCGACACACGACAGACGAACATACACACGCGATGCAGGAGGCGATATGCCTCGGTTACATTCACAATGTGACTGGTTCTCACCAGGTGTGAAACCACTGCACTATATCATTTTAAGATTGATTTTTGATAAATCATCACCTAAAATCGAGAAACCGTCACTATTTGAATTGATAAAGAAACGCTGTAGTTGAATCCGTTCCCGTTCAGCACACTTCGTTGGTCTACCTCCAGATTAATTTCATCTCCTCCCACGCTCGTTCTGTACTGAAATGAGACAGACCTCATTTCTTGTGTGTGTGTTGTTGAGCTCGCTGACGGATTTCGACTCGGTGGGTCGATGAAGTTGTGCGATTGGCGAGAGACAACTAAACTGGACCCGACTTGATAAGCACAAAGGGTGACGCTCTGTTTCGTGCTCGCTACAGCACAGTGCACAGTCGGTCAAAGTGGCTTGGACATTGACGATTACTCAGTCACCAAAGGTTATCAGAATAAGTGAAACTGGAGACACACAAAGGGGACCTCAAAATCCGGCATGGAGATATTGGCTCTTCCAAGTCGATCGATCTTGCAATGATCAGGGCGTAGGACGGACAAAGTACCGGATTTTGCTGACTCCTTTCCTGTGCACTTAATCGCGTATTCTTATGGAACAACAAATATGGGCCACAAAGTTAGGCATTTGTCCGAACGAATCTAGCTTCAGGGAAAGACGATGAACAGGTTTAGTGGTACTTTGATTTGAAAGCAACCCTCTTTGCATACCCAAACTGTCACTCGAAAGCTGAAAGTTCTATCCTTTTTTTGATGAGAAAACTACACAACTTCTGTTCTAACTTTCGGTAATAGAAGCTTTTGTTCAACAATGTGTTCTTCCTGCACCCCTTCATTACTCCTCGGTGGCTTTCCCTGGTTTGCTGAAGGTCGGTTTCACGTTGCTGAGGCCTCTCAATGATCAGCCTTTTCTCCCGAGTTCCTTTATCTGTTTTCATGGAGAGTATGTGTAAAGCTCACTTGAAAGTTGCCTAAAATAATTTATCTGATTGCGTCCATCATTCACCATTGACCTGTGTGCATGCAAATCCCACATCTGCACCTGATCCAAATACAGACTCATTCCGACTTGCAAATCTGCATACAGAAACTCTTTGGTACTCTAACTCGCCCGGATACTGATTGACAAGGAAAGTGATTGTTTTGAGCTTTCTAATTTCTAATGTAATTCATTCACATTCACGTTTTATATCCCGCTTTTTCTCCTTTTTTACCAGTATCCTGACGATGCTCTATTTTTTGGCTGAGAGCTTATTTATACCTCGCCAAAGAGTCAATACAACACAATATAAGCCATATAGATCACCTCGATCAGATTACTCACTGGTGCATTGGTTTCACACCTGGTTGAAACAAATCACACTGAGTGTAACCGAGGTACTCCGCCCACTGCATTGTGTTCGTGTTTGACTACCAATGCAGATTTTATGTTGTGTGCCAGCCACAGTGGAAGTGGTAGCATCGGATCCACTGGGATTCGAAACCGACAACTAGGAGTTATCGATCCAAGCCACTTACCACTGGGTGTGTATTTGAAAAGCATCTTTGATTCAGGAAAGACACTGATGAGTTTTAGTTCATCAAATTAGCAACGAATCGCGATTGGAATATTGTGAAACTCATCAAGAGATAAATTTGCACACAAATACATATCCGTGTATAAACACTACTTACGTTATCCACATGTTGCTGTCTCGTTTCGAAATCAATCAAACGATCGGCCAATTCTGCTTTATCAACTAAGTCGTCTGATCGCAGATTGTAGTGTTGCAACGCGGCCTTGATTTGAGCCCAACTTTTAAAATATAGATCTTCACCGGTAGTTGTTTCTCCAACTACCGGCTGATTCTGAAAATATTATAGAAAGAAAAAGAAGATGGTACCATGAGCAAAACGCCCAAATTTTTCGAAAGGATCCGGAACACCTATGGATTATTAACTGTTCAGAAAAAGAAGAAGTTTTGAATACCACTCAGCATGTTGTGAAGACGTTTTGACAGAACCAATTGAAGTAAAATATTTGTATGCAACACATATCGAAATTTCCCCTACGGATTTTGCTTCTTTATAATTTGAAAACATTTCGCCGATACATTCATTCTGATGCAAAATACACGTCGGTTGTTAAATGTATTTTGGATGTGAGACCTCAAACTAATTCACAATTAGGAATATGTGTTCTGGAGCATAACATTTTAGGGTGCGGTTAAACTGGCCTTCATCGACAATAGGTCTGTCAACTGTGGATTCAAGCAGGACATTATATAATCACACGCAATCAGTTCTTCTTTGGAGCTTCGGAGGACGTGAGCCATAAGCCAAGTGACTTAAAACCTTTTTCTGCCTTCTGTTATTTTGTTTGGCTCTTCTGTTCAGCATGCGTTTTCCACCCTCATATTTGTAAATAAGATTCAAAGATTGGCCTGGTTCAGTTGTTGATTTCACACTAATAGGAAAGGAAACTGACATGGTGGATATTATTGGTCAATTCACAGCAGTTATATCACTTCTGGAGAATAAACCTTCATTGAAAATCAGGTACGCCTAAAGAAAAGCACATTGGTGGTTTTCAGCTTGCGACCTGTTTGTTATTGACTGAGTGTCTGTTGCAGCTGTTCACCCACCGCGTGTTCCTATGCGGCTCAGGGACTTTGGTGATGTTACGGAACGAGGATGCATCAGGCCTGAGGTTTGACGACCTATCCCCTATGGGGAAACTAAGGGATATAATTTACGTCCGCATCAAAACAAGTCTGGGCTGCAACTGAGGGCAAAGTTTTTCACTAACAGAATGATCTCATTGTAGAACCAGTTACCACTAGCAGTGGTGAGCTGCAGTACTGTAAATGCTGTTGAAAAGGCATTGGACGGGAGCTGGATAATGGCTTTCCTGGAGGTAAGCGTTTAGTTACCACCTATAACCCAACCTCGGAGGATGTGACAGTGTATCACACTATTCTGTCGTTCAGAAAAATTGCACACCAAAGTGTTGAATTTCGCCAACAACACACAAATCTGAACGATCGATTAAATAGAGCCAGAAATCGTCCTATGAGAAGTGAATTGAACTGAAGTGAACTGAGGGCTAGATAAGTCTGTACGTATTCGAACGCCTCTTTGGCTGTAGTCGAAAGATAGAAACGAAACTGTAATTACTCTTCGGTGTCAGAATAGTATAAAGAAAAGGCTGTTCTGTTTCCGGTGACTTGAAACACCTTAAAAGTTTATGTATGTCTAAGAATTGCTAGTCTGCAATACTTTCTGTCCCATGTCAGTTCACAAATATTTCTCACTTTGGGATTGCAAGTGAAATATCATTATAATGGTGAAAGGATCTTTGACGGAGAGCTCCAAATGGTGCAGTATCTTTGGGGAAGTGACCTTGACGAACGAATCGGTTCTTCTCGAACGCTTCCTTTCGGGAACAGCTTGTACTGGGGACAGAGGTGTTGAAGCCGGAGGAGCAGAGCGTAAGACCGCTATCCAGGGTTAAATATACGTTGGACCGTGAAAAACTCGGATTTCAAAGGAGGCGCGCACGAAACGGGTCATGGATAGCTCGGTGATGATTAGTCACCAGTCAGACCCTGCAATAAAATGTATTTAGTACCTAAAAGGTGTGAAATATGTTTGATTGTTACATAATTTCATTGATTGCGAAACTAAGAAATCGTCCGCTCGCCCTGCGAAGTGTTTCTGTTGTGAAGCCCTCCGAAGTCACCCGCTTCAGAGTGGACAACTTGGCAGTAAGATGCTCACACAAACAAATCGAGAAAGATTGAGATGATAGCTGTTCAAAAAGTTCGGATCATCCATGTATTTCTAGGCATACACACACACACACACACGCACATGAACACACGAATATGACTTCATTAAACGCACTTTACAGTACTATCCGGCCTTGTTAACCACCAGCCTCACTCTACAAACAACGTTTGTCTTGATAAAGATATGTATATATGTAGTAATGAGCTGCGGTGCCAGCCTATCCATCAAAATCTAATTAAAGTTTCGGCAGTTTTCTAACCAATACGCTCCCTTTGATCCATTTCATCAATACAGAAAAAAGACAAATGTCTCGAGATGGTAACATTTCGTTTATTCTTCTCAGTAGCTGACTTGAAACAAACAGGCATATATAAAGCATATGAGGTTAACCAATTACACCGGACGAAAGCGTACAAGCATCATACATAGATGACTGACTATAGAAGTAGAAGCCCAACTCCACAGTAAGGGGATCGATTGTATTAAAATCTTTTGTGCGCACCAGGTTGGGTGATGTAATCAAATAAGCAGCGTTTCAAACGTTTAGTAGTTAGATTGACCAATAGTGGTTTGAAAGACAAATTGGAGCTAATTTTATGTCTTGTTGTGACATGATACTTTGCAACTGACGATCCTGGTTTTCTTGTAATCAATTAACCGTCAATTATCGGTTGCATCATCAACTTTACCAACCACTATGGAATATGTTCGACCATTCGTGGAGGGAGCTGACGGTGTGTTCTGCCACGTGTGCGTCAACGCTACTTCAGGTGAACTGGTATACAGCGTATGAGACGGAACCCGGTTGCTGGCTCTGTTTACGTTTGTCCAAATCAATTCCACGAGTTCCATGTTCCCTCGTTCATCTTAATTGGTCAACCCTATGTGCTACATATGTGCCTGTTTGTTTTAAGTGAGCGATGGAGAAAATTAAACGGAATGTTAACATCTCGCGACATTTATCATCTTCTTGTAATGTGAATTTTCTAAACCCCGAAATATATTTTTAAAGGTTTTAAGGTTATATATATATATTATTGACAAAAAGCAACGACAAGAAGAGACTGTGCTTAAATATAATATATATAGATATAGATATAGATATACAGTACGACAAGTAGTATATAAATGACTTGAAAAAATTCTTCCGGGACCACACGACCGATTTGACGATTCTCACCGACCGTTAGTAATGTGGTAATCCTTTTTCTCTTCATTTATATACATATACCTAGGAAGTGTATTCTCGTCGCAATAGTCTTGTTTACAAAACCGGGTAAATAAGGTTGGACAGCCATTACAGGACCGGTCCATTGATGAATCAATACTATAGTTCATTTTTTTCTAAGTGGGTTGCATGCTACTAACCTCAACGAATGTGATGTAAGCGTCATTAGGGAATATTGTACAATAAGTCGGATATGAGTGAGTGACGAAGGAAATAGTTCCCAGTCAATCATGCATTATATATATATATATAAATGGGATGAAGTGATACATTTTCACATGTGACCCTGAATTCATACGCATGGATCCGACTTACAGTAAATTTGTCCCAATCGATTGGTTCCACGCTGTTCTGTCCGTTCAGCAAAACTTCACCCTCTTCCTCTTCTTTCTCCTCGGCGTCCTTTCAAATGAAAATAGTGACGAGGGTGGGGGAGGGGTTTAGGTTTGCTGGAAATCGATATGAGTCAATTGTTGGAACTGGTATTGGTTAATCGTAAGTAACGTTATCATACTTGAACTTGCAAGTGTTCAATGGGCTAATTCGACCGGATATCTAATGTGAAAATATGTCCTTGGGATGTCAGTTGACGATTATTCCTCAACTGAAAAGAAAGAAACCTACCAGTAGACTAGCGTTAGGATTTGATGTGATCACCTATCCGGTTAGTTCACAAGTTCACTTGATATTACTTAGTAACTGAAGAGAAAAATGCTTCACTCGCCGCTACTGAATGCGTAACATAACCGAGCACTAATTCTGCCCCAAAAATGGACCTTCAATCTCACAGATGTATCGATCGTAATAGCCAATCAATACAAATTGAAGTTCGGAGGCTGGTTGGTGCAACGACAAGAAAGACAGATCAAAGTAAACAAAATAAGGCCCAAACTGGTGTTAACCATTACACCTAGATTGGAGTGATACCGTAAATGGGATGCGCCAACTGTTCTGTGGTTGGCTAATATAAACAATTGAATTGAAACAATTGAATCATGTGAAACCGGGGTAAGCTACACGACAGGAATGGCCAATCAAATGCAACCTTATCCATATGCATTCTGCTAATATGCTATACCAATTGCACTTGTGTGCGGCGGTGCGAAGGTGATCAGGCGGTTACGATCATCAACGAGTCGCCTCGTTGACTGTGTGTGTGTGTGTGTGTGTGTTAGAACCTCACCATGGCCGCCTAAGTTCCCCTTAATAAGCTGTGTCATATGATAGTATATTGGTAGACTGTTTCCCCTATCCCCGAAAGTTGTACGAACTGAAAAAGGAATAAAAATAATCATTTAAAAATTGGAGGATGAACTCTCATCGCTATTGTTTGCTCCACCTCGTTTCTCGGTTCGAACACCTTCTCGACCATTGGTTCTTCGATCGGTTTCTGTCCGGAATTCATAGGAAATTAGAATGTTTTGCGTTAATCCACATGAAACAACGATGACAGGCAAATTGGAACACTGTAAAGCTGACAGACTGTGCTGAAAAAAGTTTGTCAAAGACAGAACTAGGGGAGCCATAATAAATGCTCTCTATCCCGTTCGGACGGACGGAAGGTTGATACGCCTAATAAACACAAACCTAGGCATAACAAGCAACCAATGTGGGCACGCTACCTGAACCTACGCAAAATAATGTGCACGATTTCTGAGAGTCTACACCAATCGCAACAAGCACAAGCTTACTGGATCGTGTTGTCCAAACGTACTGATCCGTACTAATCTGAAAGTCGCACATGATCAAATCAGAGTTGGCAGGTGACCTGACCTAGATATTCACTGGTATATTTGATGGCTTTTATAACACAGGGGTAGACGGGTTCGAACTAAGTGACTTGTTAACTATAGAAAGATTTGAAATTGGGTGACCGGGGTCAAACAGTTTGGGTTCGCCACTTTTGACACCCCGCATGTTATACGATCGAACACTGCCACCACCAGCGTCCCTCATTGGTCAGTTCTCCATCTCAGAAGAAGTGCTCGTAAGATTAGATATTGGATACAAAAGGAATCAAAATTAATTGTAAGAAAAAAATCATGACGGATACTGGACACTGACAAAAAAGTGAACACTACATTGTTGGGATAGAGTTGTGTAGAAATGCACGCATCAAATGCATATCTGCAACTGTGTCGGTCGGCTGTTCCTCAGGTACCTCTTCGTCCAACTCCTGACAACTGGAAACGAAACACACGGGAGGTGACCATAAATATGGTTCCCAAGTTGAAAATCACCAGGTCACAGTACTATTCGCGATACTGTGGCGCGAAATAAAGTACCCAAACACAGGCTTGCCCCTCTCTTCACCAATCCTCTACACTCATTCCGGTCAGATGGATGTACCCACCCGATTCGGTCGACTTATCCACGTGATCCCATTCATCTATTGCCCATCAAANAATGTGTCTTGACCTGAACGATCGATCAAATGTGAACAGATCAGCGCTATAGCGACTGGTGGGGAGCATGCGCTGTACGAAACGCATTGGCGGTGGCCATGCCTGGGAGTTTGAATCCCACTGAGGTCAATGAACTATTCTCAATCTCAACACAAGAGTTCAATCTGTCGAACAACAATCTGATTGATTAATCCTCTGGGTCAAAACTAGGTTAAGAGAGCACAATGAAATCTACGAGTAATCACATTCCAAACAGATTGCTCAGTACAGTCTGATCAAGTTGATCAATGAGTGGTGTGATGCGATAACATGAATAGGGTTGGTAGATCTCATTAAATGAAAAATTGCCCATTGCCTCATTGAAAACAAAGTTCGGTAGGGGAGAAACACGCTGTTTTTCGATAAATTCATCAA